CTCACTTGAATCATCAGGATTGATCGTCATTATTATTGGCTCCAATATTTCATCACGCAAGCCTTCTTTGATAAAATCATCGTCCTGTAATTTATTGCAATGTAACACGCACTTTCTCCAGTCATCAGTTGTAATGGAATCCAATGCGTTATGAACCAACTGTTCGACATCTGCCATCTTGAAACTTGTATTTTGTTCTGCGACCTTTCCTTTGACCTGTGCCCATATGAGCTCGATGGGATTGTACTGGCAATGATATGGAGGTAGCCGTATAACCTCATGACCCATTGACAATGCAATCTCATCGAGCTCGTAATTTTTTCCGTGTGGAATTAACCGTTTGATACGTTCGCGTAATTCTGACACCGTTTCCATGGGTGAAAAATCGACTTCTTTTTCTTTTAGCCATTCTTGTAATTCTATTTTTCTAGCATTACTTTTCGGATAATTGTTCATTTGGACTGAATGGTACGACGCGTTATCCATAACTACCACACAAGGCTCTTCCAAATTACGAAGCATTTGTATGAACCATTCTTTAAAGACCTCCGAATTCATTTGAGAGTGGTAATCCTCAGATACACTTGACGTACAACGGAAGACTAATTTTGAATTTTTTACAAACCCAAATGATCCCGAACCAGCATGACATATAATAAGGCGACTGCCCTTACCTGTAGGGACTTTAAATCCTTCAGAGTTATCAGAGTCTTGCCAAATATGATTCCGCGTGTGATTTTGGTTCACCCACGTCTCGTCCAAGTAGACGACTGGTCGATCATCATTATTTGTACGTAGGTTTACCATACGCCTTAAGAACCGCACTCGCATTGCCACAAAGTCGTTTCTTTCCATTAAAAATTTTCGACCGTTGTTACATTTTTTATACCTAAATTTCATTTGTTTTAAAATTCTCCACATAGAAGTTTTTGAACCTTTATAGCCGGTTTTTTCTTGATATTTGGATAAAATTTTTAACGATGTAGGGAATTCGCCTTTATCGTAAAATTCATGTACGCTTCTTCGTACAACGTCTTCATCGAAGTCATCGATTCCTGTCGCATATTTAAGGCGTTTAAATGTCTTACGAGGTGAAGTAAATGACGGTTCTGAACTTTCTGTATGTAAAAGGGATTTAGAACCTTCTGCCGTAATACGTTTCACTGATTTAATATGTATTCCACATGCTTCAGATGTTTTTTGTTGCGTTTGAAGAAAAAATTTAGACACTTCGGGTTGAGACAAATCCTTGGCCAAGATTTTAAAATAAGTATAAACACTAAAAATAATTTTTTTTACTTTGTGAATGTTTATCTCTTGAATGGGAAGACATATTAAAAAATAACTATTTAAATTAAAAGTAAATACAACAGTAAAAACTGTTTGGATATACAAAAATTGCAAACGCACGTGGAAACAACACTGAGTACAAGTAACGCGTAGCAACGACAGTCAACTGAGTCAACGACAAACCAGTAAATCGACAAACAGTACAAGACCAGGACCGGTACTATGCAGTACACACTAGAAAATACAACAGGGAGAAGAATATACAATAAAAACATCTGTCCTATATAGTGTCCCGAATTCCTTATAATACAATGAATGCCAATGATCCAAAAATGTGGAACTGCTGCGTATCATATTTTAAAAACACGCGCTCTTTATTTCTCAGCCCGAATTTCGAACCCCTGGTTTCAGTAAAAACCACCGCTAGGCGCGCAACTATCGAGGGACATTTGTTGTGAAACGCACTATAATTTATCAATGACATATGTCATAGTAGATTTTATAGCTGGGGGGCCCCCCAAGAGGTACTGTGGCCTGGTTGTGGTTAGGTTGTGAAAAAATTAGGGTGGGGCAGGCCCCAGAGGGTCCTCTGAATGTACGATGTCATAGTATTTTTTAAACACTTCGGCGCCACTGGTAGGGGCACTTGATGTATCACTATTAGTATCACAATCGGGGTCAGATAAATGTGTGTTATCAATTTTTGGAATAGGTACTTCTAACTCTTCTTCGCTATCAGAACTTTCTGAATCTAAGGGTGGCAATACAGCCATCATCATCTTTTATGTTCTACTTGAAACGTTACGATTCATTTCTCTAAGAAAATAATAATAAAGAACTATTTAAAATGAATTAGATATGTAGAACAAGTACGAGTAATATAGGGCAATATCATTAATTTCAGAATAAGAGACAATGTATCTTTTTAGATACAGTAAAACATTTCGGGCTAGCAAGTAATGTATCTTTTTAGATACAATAACAAATTTTGGAGTGGGAAGCCATGTGTCTTTTTGGATACAGTAACACATTTCGGAGTACAAAGCACAGTGTCTTTTTGGATACACAATATTTTATGTTAAAGTAACTAAATAAATATCTAAGTGATCAACTTTATTTAAGTAAAAATAAAATATATATAGTCTGTTCAAAATAAGAAACGCCTGCGGCGGCCAGCTACTGCGCATGGGCGTGGTTTCACTAAAAGTTCGGCGTTCGAACGATGCCACCACGGTGCGTCGGCAAGAGCGACGTAATTAGTCAATCCTATAGTCGGCGCAACGAAAACTGGCCGGTGACTGGTGCGACTCTAGTGGCAATTGTCAATAAGTGGTTATTAAGCTAATTGCCGCGTTTTTTTAAAATTATTCGTTCACATGGTATATATTAATTAATTATTATACCAATCATGAGAGAAAATGGTTTAAAAAATTATCAGTATAAAACAT